TTTTCATCCTGCTCGTATTTAAAAAAAAAATTTAATCGACGTGCTTCCGGTGCCGAACTTCTCTCGAGACCATGCGACTGGACTCGATTCGAAATTTCGTTCGATGCTGCGGGACTCGATCCCACGAGGGCGTCAAGCGAGAGCCTCCGTGACCCACTCCGGAAATACACGCTCTGGATGCATCTGCTCCTTTGGGAATTCCGCTTGCTGCCGCCTGTGCGGATGGGCTCGATCGGATGCGAATGAATGAATCAGCTATGAATGAACTGCGAATGAATCAGCTATGAATGAACTGCGAATGAATCAGCTATGAATGAAAGGTGAATGAATGGAGTATCTTTTGAGGATCTCTCTGTTCCGTCCGTATAATTTATTCTTCGCATTGTCTCGTTGCAGAGAAGGAATGGATTCTTCAGAACGAACGGCAGCACGACTCGGCCGACCGATGAGCTCATCATGAGCTCATTCAGGCTCCTATTGCAACTGCCGTAAAAAAAATACAATTTCAGAGAACACATCAGCGATAAGATAAGCCGTTTAGGCCGATAAGGTTGCGATTAGTTTCACAATTTTTATTATTATTTAGAGATGAGGAGTTTTGAAGAACATCCGGCTTTTCCTCGGTGCTTCAATTCGCAGCGATTTTCATCGCCTGGATGTAAGTTTAGTGCAGTGCCACCAAATGTCACTCCCGTCGATTCAGTTGAAGCATCCAGATTGTTTATTTCTGGACTGTCGCCATGAGTTGAAGTCTATGCGGAAAAAACAGTTGCACGAATTAGAATTCGGGCAATCGTCTCGTGCAATTTTTGCTTCTATTTCGTGATGCCGGATGCTTTAATTTTGCTTTCTATCGGGTTTCACGGGAAATCATTGTCCAAATACAAGCTCAATCCGAAATCATTGTAAGAAGTCGCTGCAGTAAGTACCCTACTTTGGGGGTTGACACATGGAAAATTGGTAACCCACCCTGGAAATAGGGCCAAAAAAAATTTTTTAGAGTCGAACCTGTAAAATGCCACGCCATTGGAGCTATTAATGGAGATGGATTCGTCCTCACCCAAGGAAATGTTGGGGATACTTAATAGTGAACAATACGCTGTAAGTGCTGAGAAGAACATACACCTTGTAAGTAAATAAAATCTGTCACCTAATAGAAAAAAAATTTCCTCTCGTGCATGAGTGAACATTCCCGTGAATCGTGGTATCTCGAGTAGCGAACTGATAGCATTCGCTTTTTTTCCCCCCGATAAATTTTTCTATGAAGTACTAGGATGCTTTTCGGTATGAAATCGTGCCTCTCGCGTTTGACAAGTCGACATGATTTGCTGTTTAAAAAAATGCAAGAAACTAAAAAGATGAAACATTTAGGCTCCTAATGGCAGGAATCGCGTGGGATGTTCATAAAAAAACGAAGGGAAAAACCCTTCATGCCGTCGCACGAAGAGGCACGAATCATCTGCACCCAAATCCATTCGATACTTTGAAATTCGAAATTGGAACTGCAAATAACAGGAGACCTTGAAAAGCAGACAATGCATGGAACCATCTCGAGACTTCGTTCTCCTCGCGTGCCGACGGGGATGAACTGACACCAAGACACGGATGTCGGATGTTGGAGCCGGATAGAATCGAAATCGAGAAGTTTTCGCTTCATTTCATGCTTGTTTCCCTCTTGTCACGCAGGTAAAACCAGAAAAAAAAACTCCTGGAGCAATGTAAGAGAAGCAGCTCCTGCCAGATCCAATTACTCCGTGCCAATGCTCCAGCACAAGTACCACACCACCACGAAACTAAGCATCCGCCTGCCCGGGAATATGCATGGCGATGACGTCCGCGCTTCCATTGCGACGCGGCGGAGGCGGTTCGACAGCTCGCGTAGGTCACACCCTGTCGGCCTTCTGCTTCTGCAAGGTCGGAGTGAGGCGATTCTTTCGCTTTGTGCTTTAGGCTGTACGAAAAGGAATTCGAGTAATGAGCCTGGCAGCCTGGAATTGCTGTGCTGCATTTCCAGAACGTTCCCCGCTTGAGAGACTGCTATGTGACTCGTCGAGCAATTGTCGCCGGTGAAGTGTTTAAATCGTCATAATGGATAATGGGAAGAACTAGACTTCTTTGAGAACGATTTTGTGAATGGGTTTTCGCTAAAAAAAAAAAAAAACAAGGAAAAAAGAAAAGACCCATATGAAATGCAAATAGAAATTCTCAAAAACCTGTTTCCCATGAATATGAAAGCTCCTATTTTTGTTCTCCGTAATTGGATTTCCAACTCGTCACAAGGACGTCATACAACGCACACGTGTGAATGGGAGGTTCGCCAAACATAAGAACGAGCTGGAAAAAAGTAAGAAAACACAGCCCATTCCTACAGGATTCTCCATATGTCTCCATCACCTTGTTAGGTTTCAGGGAAATGTTTTCGCGTTGAGACAAAAGGTCCTCTTCTCTAGGGCAGTCCCACAGCCATTACTTCCCGTCAGCTGAACCTCCTGTATTATGTCCACTCTAGCGAGAGCCGTACTGGATGAGTCAGAAAAAGTTCATCAAGTCTGGAGTTCCGGGCTTCCCACGCATCCGTGATTCTGGGTAAGATTCTGGGTATTGTTGACACATGCGTGCAGAACGGACATTACTCAGAGGAGGAAGAGGAACACATCCGCCCCCCTGTCGCACGGAGAGTACTAAGCGGTTGCGGGATAATTATTTCTCCCAGACGCATCGACCGAGTTGTTGTTTTTCTGGGTAAGAGTCAGAGATCCGATGCTCCGCAGCGCACCCTGCTTGATGCCCTTCAGGGGAAACAGGCCTCAAAAGGCAGCCGTGTACGAGCGATGGAAAATAACGGAGAGGAGTGGTCAGCCATAAGGCTCATTTTCCCCTGTATTCCCCCTTCCTCCCAAGCAGCTTCTAAATCCGTACGGGTTTGCTCTCTTGGCTGCCTGCCAAGCCTGAGCCACTCCTACTCTCGCTTCTCCTGTGCCTCCTTCTCACACACATGTGAGAAATTTCCTCTCCTTCCACCCTTCCTTCCCCAGAAATTTGGCGGAAGAATTTTGCTGACCATACTTGGTGATGTGAATAAGTGAAAAAAAAGAGGAAAGCCAAGTTCTACCCCTGAACCTAAGAAACCCAAGCCTCTTGTGAGTCCAGGACGGCTGCTGTGCTATGTCCAGCCAGGCTAGACCTTGTGTTATTCTGTGCGTAGTGTCATCCCGTCCATTCTGAATCCCGAACTGTAAAAACATAGCGTGTATGATATAAAAATCATCCTGTGAAGCAGCTAGGGTTTGCTCTCACGTGCTCGTTTACTCGACGTGGTGAAATAGCTATGACTTTGTTTTTTTTTTATGGCCTATTTTATTAAAGATTTCATGAAAACACTCCTGTTGGATATGATGCACAGTAAGTTTCTTGGTGATACCTTTTAAGATTTCCTTTCAGCTGTCATGCTAAATTGGGAACATTTTCAGGGCTTTCCAGCAGATGTGCTGAGAGTTTCATGAGATGCTAACAAACATCTGCACCTATCTTACTAAGTTTTATTTTGTTGGGAGGCTTTTAATGTAGGGGATGCATTCCAAGAAACTCTTGAATTAAATTCACATAATACTCTTCTGCATCATGCAGAAAATGAATTTAAAAAAAATATTGACCAAACTTTGTTTCATTGCAAACTAGGTTTTAGGCCCAAAGCAATCCTAAAAGACTTGCTATGGGCCTAAAATACTTGATTTGCCATGGTAGGGAGTTATTTGCATATCAACTGTCAGCAATTTACACCTATGGACCAAAATTAATTAAATTTTTTTTTTTTTTTTACAATGGTTAAATTGAAGAAGTAGCCAATGCTTTTGAGCCTCCCTGTATATAATGAGAAGTAGGATATACATTCTCATGAACTCCCATCAGTTAAGAGGGTAAAATATGCAAATCTCTGTGTCAAATAGGTGGCCACTCTCATGTATCAGTTGAAAAAAATTTTCCCAGAAAACTCCTGTGACATTATAATGACTGGAAAAGAAGCTATTCTTCACTCAAGAGCATTTCATTGAGTGCATGATGCAATTCAAAGAAAATGAGTATAATATTGTACAATGTACAAGAATGTACATTCATTTGTAATGTTTTGCTACTTGATATCAAGACTCTGATTTCAGCAAATAAATTCAAAAAACATTCTTGCTTATACTTTTTGCACATGAAGCTTCTTTTTTTCTTGGTCTCTTTCTCTTCCTTTTTCTGTTTCAATATTTCCATGTAGTTTTTGTTTATTCATAAAGCCAAAATTGTGTACATAATTTTCATTAGAGTTAGTCTGTGGTACTCAAATCTTTTTTTGGTTGGGGCTGCATTTGTTTGTGACCAACCTAATCTGACCACACTGAAGAAAAGACTCACTGATACTAATAAAGCATTCCCTTTAACTGAAAAGTAATTTTTGGCTCCATGGGTGTGAGGTCTTCATGGACTATATTCAGCCTGTGTGCTATGTTTTGAGTACCACTGGGGTAAGCTAGATGGCCAGTTTAGTCAATTCTGGCTTATAGGTTGGAATCAACACTAATGGGAATTTAACATGAATTCAATGAAACAATGAACGAATGAACATGATTTACAAAAATACAAAAAAAGAAGAAAGAGGAAGTCAGAGATCCAACAAGACAAAAAATAGGAAAGATGCCAGCATCAATAAATTTAAAAAGAAGCTTCCATTCGTTCACAAAAGTCCATATCTGTCTTTAGTTTTGGTCATCCAATAAATACCCATGAAGTTTTTTTTTTAAAATTTGATTTGAGAAATTTTGATTTTGTGTGAATATATGTAGATCCTGGTAATTTGTGTTTTTCTTTCTCTTTATCTTCATTCATATAACCCATATGACCACATGTTAAGAGTTATGTCAAGATGTTCATGTTCCTTTGATATATGAAGTTGAGTTGAGTTGGAAGCATCTAGGATGTTTATAGGGTAGTCCACATTGTTCATTCTGATTTTGTTCTCTTTCTGCCCTCAGACTTTTAGGTTGAAGCTGAAGTTAGGGAAGCCTACTGTAGGCTCATCCTACTAGGGCATGTAGACAGGACTTGACTGTTCAGGTGGCAGCCAAGGTCTAGTTCAATTGACATAAAACTTATTGAAGGAACTGACTTTATCAAGAAGATCCAGAGGCTTATTGTGAGCTGCTGAATATGAAGAAAATAGGGTTTTATACATGTGCAATTTGATTATGACCTACTGCTAAAGAAGTGCCTCACCTAGCCTCATATTCTTCTGTGATACTATCCCATCTGGTCGAACACTGAACAGAGATCATGGAGAAGGGCTCTGTATTCATTGTATTGTGTGTGTTTTTACACGCGATGGTGGTATTTGGACAGCTGACAGAAAAGCTTATTTCGAACCCTTGCACCTCCAAGGACACTTGTCATGAGTGCATTCAGACACCAACATGTGCATGGTGCAGTCAACCTGTAAGAACTATTTCCAGTCTTCCATGCGAGGAACTGCATGAGCCTCGTCCTACCATTAGCTCTATTTGTAATCTCTGAGAACTCTAGATCTGTCATAAATAAAATTTTGATAATATTGGCCTATTAATTTTTAGACCAAATTATGTTTATATAAGGTTTCTAACCCATAGTAAGTGTGTTCTGCTATCTGCTGGATAATGTGATCAAATGGCAAGCAACTAAAACAAAATCCCATTTTAAATTTAATTCCACATTTCTTGCTGTTTGTGTTATCACCATTGCTGGATATGGTTAACAAGTGTAGTCTGATCATCCTATCTCAGTGGTTACTGAATTGCATGGAAAATGGTAGGGTTGCACTCCCTGGGATTGAGGGAGATGACTTATATGGGCTGTACCAAGAGAGCCGGAAATGGCCTTGATTGGTTCTAAAATCTGTGCAATAGCATGGAGACCTAAATAGTGGACCTATTAAGTACTATATGCAACCTGATGACCTTTGACAACCACTTCTTCCAATGAAGGTGATTTTGTACTGAAAGTACAGAGTTTAGTGTTTTGTTCATGTCTGCATGTTATCTGCCACTTTATGTTGTCAAATAGTCTTGTACCCACTTGCCTCTATGAGCTGCACCCTAGTAGAAAAGCCATGACATTTAGGGCTTTGACATCCTTCCCGTGAAGCCTTCTGTGAAGTGTTTTATCAGAATTCTGAACTTTAGAACTTGAACTGACTATGGTATCCTAGAACAGCTTGAGGTTGTTCGTTATTTACATTTAAGAATAGTACAAGAAAGGTACACAAATGTTTCAATAATTTTTTTTTTAGACTTTAATTGGAAGCCAATTGGTTTTTTGGCAATAATTTGTAATATGAGTTTTGGAAAGTTACCAGTCAGGGCATTACATCCTTCAGGGAATGCTATTTACACAATCTTTGGACTTGTCATATAATTGATCATATATATTAGGGTAGTTTCCTTGGCCTTTTTTTCATTGTATTACCAGAATGGATTTTTGTGAGAATGTGACAGCTGATTGTTTAAAAAATTAATTTTATATGTAGAACCCAGACCTCAATGAGAGAGGCACCAGCATCTCTTACCAATAGTGATCATATATGATTTTGCAGTTTGACGAAGATGTGATGCTAGTGTTTCCTTTCATTATTAGAACTTCACAAGTCCTGATGGTTCCCCAATTCCTCGATGCAACCAGCAGAATCGCTACCTAGACTCTCAGTTGCAAGCAAGATGTGATCCTGCCCACATCATCAACCCAAGCAATCACTATGAGGCGATATATGACTATGAGCTGAGTAAGAAGGCACACTCTGGAAAAGAAGCCATCCAGATCCGTCCTCAAAGAGTTTCACTTCAATGTAGAGTTAGTAAGTGCTACTTCCATGCAATATTTTGGATAATCATTCAGCTGAAGAAAAGTTGACCCCAGTACAATTCTTTCTCATGCTTTCCTTCTTCAGAGGAAGCGTATGATTTGAGTCTTTGGTACGCTCAAGCAGAGGACTACCCTGTAGATCTCTATTATCTAATGGACTTGTCAAAGTCTATGGAAGATGACAAGGAGAAATTGTCAGAACTTGCCATCCTCTTGGCAAAGGAAATGGAGAAAATCACTTCAAATTTCAAGCTTGGATTTGGCTCTTTTGTCGACAAGGTTGTCATGCCTTATGTCAGCACAGTTCCTGCTAAGTGAGTTTACATTCTGATTGTGGTAGGCCTATCCCCTTGATTTAATTGAGAGGAAAACTCATGGTAGTTACTTGGCTGGACATGGGAGAATAGACTTCCATGTCCACCAAGTTGTGCATTGCAGTGTATCAGTACCATGTCAATGAGATGGAAAGACAATTGAAAGTTATAGCAAATAGAGATATATTTGTGGAATCATATGTATTCTTTCTGATGGTTTTAAATTCATTTGCCATTCGCTCCATTTGGACAAGAGTCAATTGGTGTATTTGGCCTATTTCAAAGTAGTGGCGAACCCAGACTAGTTATATATGCTTCAGAATGTGTTTGTAGGACACTTTGTACCCATGAATATCTTGCCCATCCCATGGAGCCAGCATAAATGGATAATTTATTCTCATCAGCTTTTTCCCATGTAAGCATGTAAGGCAATGTGGCCTTGGCTCTTTGGCATCTCTGGCCTTGTGAAACTATTCCCATGGGACCTCAGCTGGGGCCATGGTAGACTGGAATGTTAGAAAATGTGGTAATATGATTGATCTTTGTATTTCAGCAGGAATATTCCTTGGACCTAAAAGAGATTATATTATTTTTAGGCATGGGAAAGATTCTCCTGATAAATGTGAGAGACCAGTTTTTTTTTCACAAAATATGTTCCACATGATCATGCATATTTGGGAAAGGATTCTTACAGAGGATTTCATTCATTCATTCTCTGAAGGAAATGTATGAACTCTAAATTTCTAAGTGTAAACTTATCATTTGAGTGGAAATGACAGCGGTATCATAAAGGGGTCCAGGAATATATGGGATAATTCCTAAAAAAGTAGTTCTTGACTTAACTTGCTGAATATTAATAAAGTTGATTTCATTTGCTAGTTATAACTATTGTTCAACCAATGGTCTATTGTCATCTTTGGCTAGTTGGCCATGACCATATTTTTTTAATTGCAGTTTAATTTTTTTTTCAGTTATATTGGCCCCTCTTGGCAAAAAATGTCTAGAAATAACACTGCACTACTTGTCTTTTTCTCTTGCCCACATTTGTTGAGTATGGCCTATGGTATGGTACTGTCTTAAGAAGATTTTATTTAGGCTTGATCTGAAACAAAGTATAGATGCAATAAAACAGGAGTTTTTGAACTGGATATTCCATCCTTAAGTATTTAAATCTATGGAACAGGGAGCAGTTTCCTTTGAAGGCTGGGACTATTGTGTGCATTTATACTTGTTGAGCACCTTGATCTATCAGCACTTAATGTCATTGAGCACAGTCTGCAGAGGTTATTGTATCAAAATCTGAATGGAAAACTTCCTAAAATAGATTTATATCCTTTGCTGACATCATGTGGGGATTTCAGCATATGTGATTTGTGGGAAATTTTCTCTCATGATTATACCACAATGAAACTTGACAGTATGTCTCTTGAAATGTATTCTTGCTATAGAGTTGTGGTTTTTAGGATATAACAACTATGAGAGGATGAAGGAATGATAAATTTGGATTGTATACTATAATCTTGTAGTGTAGGCTTACCTTAAATGCCTTCATTTTCATGAGGCCTATGAACTTCAATCTTTTTGTTTCAGCATCTCAAGTCCTTTTATGAGTGGGTAAGCATAGATATTTAGTCAGAATCATGTCATGTATTAACCCCATAATGGCTGAGTATTCAATGAATGGCCAAAATTATACATGTCCCTAGTTGTATTTCATCTTCCATATCTACTTTTGATTATGCATCTGGGTGGTTTCAGCCAGAGTATTCATATCTCTTCTTAGAAGAAAACATATTATGTGAAAGAATAAAAAGTACTTATCAACTATATTAGCAAGAAAAACTATAATAAGTTTTTAATCATATTGGTTTGCTGCCATTGGCATTTTATAATGTGTTTGGTAATATCATGATCTCCTTTATCAGACAATTTCAAAGACATTTTTGGAAAATCCTCTGGTGTCAGTAGGAAGTAAATGAAAAAGCATCACACTTGGCTCCTCTGCTATTTTGCATGGCAGGAAACTTTCCTGCAATCTCCAATTGTTAGAGCTTGTTGATCCAACCACTGTACTATGTTTTGGATAATCATCTATTCATTTAATACTTGAATGTGAAATGTGTTTTCCTGGTGATGTCTGAATGTATGGATGGCTTTCCATTCCTGGATATGCTTTCTGGGACCTTGGAAGAACTCAACATCCTTTGGATATTGTCTACAAACCAAGAAGGCCATGAAATAACAGTTTGCTCTTGGGGAAATTTTGAATATTGAGGGAAAGATGTGATGCAGCTAGAGTTAACTTAGTTATCAAGGGAAAGGTATAACCCTGCCAATATGACTTTGTATTCTTTCTTCCCTGACAGATTTGATTTAACAGCTTAAGTATGTGTCATCTTAATGGGCTGAAACTCTTGGAAATATTGATGAGAGGTTTGAAGTAAAAAATGTATGATAGTCATGAGGAACACATTATGTTTTCACAGGATTTAACTAATATTTATCTCAGATGGTGAATCTAATGAGTGTAGGTCATGTATAATCATGGTGGCCTTGAACAACTAGAGAACAGGGTATGGTTATACACTTCATAGCATTGCCTAATATATTTTTTTCCTGATCTTAAGATTGCAGGCTCCATGTGATGGTTGTGCTGCCCCATATGGATTCAAAAACCACATGACCCTAGGTACAGACAGCTCCCAATTTGCTGTAAGTGTCACAATCCATCACAGGAAGATTCCTTCCTGATGTTGTAAATTCCTTGTAGGTGTCAATACCTCTCCCCACATCAAATTATGGTGATGGTGCCTGCTCCAGCCATAATGCTGCCTAGTCCTATGCCTCTCGCTTTGATGTTGTCTCTGGGCCTCTAGGCTATTGTATCTGTAGATGTGATGTTCCATTTCTTCTCCTTCCTGTCTATATTTTTCTTCTGCAGTGACTGTGTTTCTGCATCTGTCTAGTAGAATCGTATGGATTCATATGCCAAAATCAGAAAGCCACAAGGGAAATGAAATCTCTGCTTATGTGTGAGTCTTGACACAAAGTTTTCTTTGGAACACATTGCGATGGGAAACATTCATCAGGTTCTGACCATTATGCTATTTAATTGGTAGGGCTATTTGCCCTGAGTTATATGCATTTGCAAAGACACTCTTCAATCAACAGGCATGATTTGATCCATGAAAGAAATTCCTTCCTGTTTCCATAGACTAAAGGCTCCATGCCATGAATGCGCAACTCCTTACAGCTACAGACACGTATTGCCTCTAGGAGAGAGTGCAGATGATTTCGCTGTAAGTGATTTGCATCATCAACTATGACCATCCAGTGTGCCATCCCCCTCTCACAAGACTTGAGTTTTTTTTCTACCTCATAGGCTATTCCACTCCATATTCAGTCATATTTCAGCTCATGGGGCAGCTTGTTCATTTCTGTCAGCTGAGGCCAAGTTTGAATGCAATTTAATAGAAATTTCCAATTATCTTTTTTATTTTGGCGTATGTACTTTTTTCTTTTAAAGATTTTTAATTCAGTGTATCTTGTGGCTTTCATGTTAGCATTGTAATGTACAGTTTCTGTATTGTGCACTTTAATCAGATATCAAACAGTCAATTCAGGTTCTTGTCTGGTTTAATTGGCTGACTGACAGTAGCTTTTTGATTGAGGTTTTAGAATACTCCTTTAGCATGTTGGTAACAGTAGTCTTTCTACATTGTCGCGTGCAGGCAGAATTTTCGTTAATGTCAGTGTGGGTCAGTGGGATAGGAATTATCCCCAAATGGAGGCAAAAAGATTTATGTTCATGACAGTAATGAATCATTGTAGTTTGATAGCACCATTGTTTTTTAAATCCCTGCTGATAATCAATAGATGCTCATTTTCCTTGTTGTTGGGATGATTGGGATTTTTGTTTTTTCTCATTAACAGTATGCTTTTCCAAAATATTAAGATACTTGAGGTTATGAAGCAACTTCTCTTGCACTAATCGGAGTATAGTGCTATGAAGGTTTTTCTAGCCTCTGTCGACACACTAAATGAAGAAAAATGAGAGAAATGGGAAGTCTTTTTCCATTTCCCTCATTCTTTTGTGAGTACAGTCTTTGCAAAACATTACCAGCTTTCTTCTGAAACTCAGTCTACATGTCCCTTGGATGTGCCTTTCCATAAATGCCAACTTGCCTCCAATACCTGCATTGACTTGTGATTTGATAAAATACAAGTAAAGTACTCTTTCATTGTTGAAGATCAAGAAGTGATCTTGGCTTACCCTTTGGGAATCTAAACTGCTTTCCATTTGAAAATCAAAGTTAACATGCTAATACAAATTTATGAGATGAAGTATGACTGCTTTCAAGGCTGAAATATGAGACGTGATTTAACTTATCAAAAGAACCCCCAGTTGTGATGCTTTTCTCGTGTGATTCTTGCAAATCTCCACCCAAACTATTTCTCACTACCTTACTAGATTGAATACATTTTACTCCTTCACTACTTTTCTCTTCTAATTTGATATGACATTCAAGAATGCAATCTGGTGTTGTGTGATTGTGTGCAGTTCCCTTTGTGATGCTAGCAGGCCCTCTTTTCTTCTGGGCTATTTCCACAAGGCAAATACTGCCATACTATGCTCAAAAATTAGAGCGACATGTATATCACCAGTTGAGGCCAAAGGAAGTAGTCCGTTTGAGTAAGTGCACAAGTTTGATGATTCCCATCTAATACAAGAGGCCAGTCATCAGTGGCATTCTGGACAATATGAACCAACCTCTCATTTGCTGTCAGTGGGCTTGATAAGGCATGGCTTATAGCATGTCCTTTCACTTCTTGTCTTGTAAAGATTTCTTATGTTTTCTTGACAGAATTTGATGTTATAGCTATGGCAATCTGTATCGATGATCTGTTGCTCTAATTTTTTTTTTTTTTACAATATATTATCCAAATGCATGTGCATGAGTTGTTGAGCCTTCAGAGGTTTTTAAGGATACCTTCTAAAAGATGAGCATGCATCCCTCAAACTTTCTATACAGTCTAATCTGAAATGTAGTATAAAAAATTTATTTTCTTGGATTTGAGCAGGATCTAAAATATAAGAGTCATGAAATGTTTTGGTTATAGAAGTGTTGAGAAAGTTTCCCTCCTGTTCCCAGTTGTCCTTCCACTCTTCCTTCCCACTTCTGAGTATTGTCATGATTCCTAGTCCTCCTACCCCAAACTACCCAACTCCTGCTACTACAGGCCTGATATAGTTTCTGTTCAATTCCTCTTGCCATAAAATGTCAATTCTTGGAGAACAAAGAAAACCTTTATGAATTAACACTTTACTTGTAATGAATACATTAACTTTCTTCTCTTTAATCATTTTGGATGGTATGTGCCTTTATGGATATGTAAGTAATGTATTATTGATAAATTTGGTATCATCAGGGACATTCATTTTGACATGTCCATTCATCAAGATTATACAGATCTCTTGATTTTAAAATTATACTCAAGCTTATTCTATGGATGCCTTTAGTTTGTTTCTGCCTGTAAGGAAGGGGGGGAGACCATAATGCCTATTTGGTAGCAAAATATAAAAAATAGCATGTGCTATTTAAAAAAAAAATTTGTGAGTATAATCCAAGATTTAGTTTCATGGTACAGAGTATAGACACAACAGTATTTTTCTTTGGCCAATCTGATGGGGTGTCAGTATGCTTAATCAAAATCAAAGTTCAAGTTTGACTAAAGTTTTAGTTCTATTTAAAATCTCTCAGGGAATTGGAATGACCATTATTAATACTAAGAGGTTGAATTTTTGATTGACTCAAATGAATGCTTAGAAAATTAGTAACTATGAAGTCAAGTATGAAGATCCTCATCTTCAGGTAATTTGTTTTGAAACACAAGGAATTAGGTTAGGAATCATGGTAGTCAGTCAAAAGATAAATGATTGGCCAGAAAATATAAGTAGGTAGATCTCTGCATACAAAGAAGTTAGAATCTACATCTAGAATATTAACTAATAGGTCATCTGATTTTAGGCCTGCCAATACTGATAAAATTGGTCAACCTTCTGTGAAAATACACTGCATTTACTGTATTTGCAAATACACTCCACTTTTCTAGATTTTCCATTGCCATGCTCCTGAAAAATATAGATTTTTTATAATGAAGTTATAGGAAGAGGCTTTTCATTCTTTGGCATTATCTTCCTTGTTCCCCTCTTTGACATTGATAAAGGAATCCTATCTATCTCACTCCAGTTGTTTTGTTGAAAAGTACAGCATTTTTTTAGCAATTTCTTATAGCACTAATGTTTCCCAAAGAAAAAGTAAATGATCTTGATCTCTGCCATGACAGTTACGATGTAATGGTAATTGCATCTTCTTTTTATACATACTACTTGATATGTTTAAGACTTATGGGGTGTGAATGACTTTCCAGTATTCTTTCTAGAAATACATACACAGAAATTGAGTATTAAATGATACTGTATATTTTTATTTATTAAACCTGGTATGCTTTATATAGCATGAAGTGCGAAGTGCAAACATATCTGGAAATCTGGATGCTCCAGAGGGTGGCTTTGATGCCATCATGCAAGCCATTGTTTGCAAGAACACGATTGGTTGGAGAGATCGTGCTCGCAGACTTCTTGTCTTCTCTACTGATGCCAGCTTTCATTTTGCTGGTGATGGAAAGGTATTGGAATAGTTTTAATTGTTTCTTCTAATGGATGTAGATAATATACACCATGATTCATAAAACACCCTAAATATTTTATTAGAATTCATATATTCATTAGTCTGTTTACATGAAATTATGAATGATTGTAGTTACAGTTAGAACAAATAATCATAATGATAGTCACAGCGCTTTTTTTCTCCATAATGTTTACTCTGTCTTAAACATTTGATAACATGCTTGTCTTCTTCACTGAATGCCATTTTTCAGAGTATGCTGCAATAGATGTATAATGACATCATTAATCATCATCATCATCAACTAAAAGTGAACTTTAATTTTCGAACAATTTGTAAATACATAGCTTCTTTATTAGGCTTGTTATATTGAAAATTTCATGTAAATGAGCTAATGAATATAAGAGTTATGATAAAATATTTAGGGGTCCTGATTTTATGAATCACTGTATATTCCCATGGTAGGGTGCAAAGAACATATCATGTCTTACGTGGTCTCAATCTGCCTCATTTTCTCATTATCATGCTATTGACATGAAGTTAATCATGAAATCTACTAAAGTCTGACATGTGATGTCTGGCATGTTATGGTTGATGCCTACATTATGTATGCTACATTAATTTGCAAGAGGTAAGTGAAAGTAAAAATGTCACTATCACCCTTGGATCCTTTTTGTTAGTTTTATATTTCTTAATCATGGCAGTGTCACTTCAAGTGGTATTTTAGCCTTAAGTTTACTTGAAGGTCACAAGGTCAATGCTACTATCTCCACAAAGGTGCTCTTAGAGTTAGACTTAGAGTGCCAATGATAAGTCCATCTTAAATGTGCAAACCACCAAGCCCCAATCTGACCTGTAGGATGAAAAATGAGATTTTTAAATGAATGTAATTCCCAAGAGTCCTTCACATACACTTGTATTCTAAGGGTGAACTATTTTAACTGATCTGATTATGACTTTATATTATTTTTGCCACCTGTGTAGTATAATTTTAAAGCACATGATGTAAACCCTGTTGAAGCTCAAATTCTAGATTCTTATTGAGTTTTCATGTTTTTTTCCATGTTTCCCACAGCTTGGAGGAATCATTACTCCCAATGATGGACAATGCCATTTGGATCACAGAGGAGCATACACCCACTCGCTTCTTTTAGATTACCCTTCTGTTTCTCAAATCAATCAGAAAGTGAAGGAGAATTCTATCAATATCATCTTTGCTGTCACAGATCAGCAGAGATATGTTTATGATAAATTGAGTGAGACTGTTGAAGGAGCTTCATCAGGGACACTCTCACAAGACTCCTCCAATGTTGTGGAACTCATTAAGGACCAATATAATGTGAGTTATTTTCACATGTTCTGACTGAAATTCTCATACACATTTCTAGTTAGATTTGGGAACAGTTAATCACAAGCTCAGTAGCAAAACTTCAGTATTGGCAGAAAGTATTGCAACACCTATGAAAAACAAGTTTTACCTGTCTCAAATGCTTAGTTTTAGAGTCAGTAAAGGTTTTATTGTAAATAAAGTTACTATCCAATCATAGAATGATTAGTATATGATTCCTATAGGAAACTCATTGGATGCCATAGGTTTCTCATAGGACATATAGCTTTCCTATAGGAATGTATAGGTATACTGTAGAAGCATGCTGCTCAGCAGATATCTCACTGGTCTTGGGCATTGTCAGTAAAAAACAAATGAAGTCCTCACTTTAACCACATGATATTTTATAATAGAATGTGTTCTAAAAATTGATATTGGAAGACCCACACTTGTATTATCATTCTGTGATTGGATAGTAACTTTATTTGCAATAAAACCTTTACTGACAGTAAAACTAAGCATTAGAGACACATAAAACATGTTTTTTTGTAGGTGTTGCAATACTTTCTGCCAATACTGTAGTTCACTAGACCACTGCATTATATATGTACATGTCTCTATTTTAGCAAGAATGCTCTAATGTAATTTAATTAACTATGTAAAGGTACTGGCATTCCATTATTTCAGTTGATGTGAATCTCTTCTATATCTCTCATCCTGCTTTTCTTATTAATCTCCTTTTATGTCCTAGTACCCATTAGTTTCAGCTGTCATTGGTAATGCTGACATAAATAAATGGAAATGTATGCTCTGCCTTTCTTGCTTTGCAGTTATTGCAGTATCAGTATATGTTTTTTGACTGATGATCATCTTGGTAGGGATTCCCTTTTGTAATTAGCTCTTGCAAGATTATTCTATATATCCCAATGGAAATTCTTGTTGTAATATCCGTCAGGCTCAGGTTATACCAAATCATTATGTCTACCATAATGGAAGTCAGGGTATAAAATTTACCAATTAATGGCTGCATTCCTTTCCTACCCAGGTCTGTATAGGTTACTTCTATGTACATGTCACAAGAATGGTATCAATACATTGTTAAGCCATTTTGAATTAGGGCAGGATGATCCTAGGATTATCCTACCCTGACCAAATGCCTAGGGCTACAACTGGTTTTTGCTCTCCTGCCTTTGTAATAGAAAAAAAGTTTCATACCCTGGAGCTCTATTTCATGGTGAAATTCCAAGTCTACAGTTTTCATTTTGTATTATTTCGTCGCTCTACTGAAAAAAATTTGAATTATACTGATGTTATTTCTTAATATTCTTAAATATAGCTTCTTGGCATTTATCAAAAGCATCAGTTTCATATTCCTATGGAAGGGAAGGAGGAATGATTCCCCATTCCCTTGTTTTAGTTGTAGGAAAAGGGAAAAAGAATAGTAGCCCTTGCATGACAAATGGATTTGAGGTCATTAACAATATTTTTCATTCCCTGAAGCAAGCATTTTGCATTCCCTGTTAAATCTGTAGCTGTTTAAGACGAGCAGGAGGTCCTTGCAATTTCAAATTTTGGGGAAAATTTAAACCTTGGAGTGTTTAAAACTGTTCTTGCCTGGCATGTAACTGACCAAGGTCATTTCCATTGCTTTCTATGCTTACATCTGTTTTGCACATTCCCATAGCAAATCACATCATCTGTGGAGATGAAGGACAATGCTACAAGCAATGTTCAGATCACTTATTTCTCTCGATGTTTGGATGAAGGTGGACCCCTGAAACAAACCAATCGTTGTGATGGCCTGAAAGTTGGCACCAAGGTCCAATTCACAGTTCGAATTGAAGTAAGTCCACATACTATCTCTTGTGCTGTCTTGTGGCTCTTCCTAAGTGGTCATCAAATGTAAGATGGGCCATTCTATGTCTAATGAGCCACTTGTACCTTCTGACGTTTCTTCCGTCTTGCTGGTCTGTTCATAGACCTACCCTTTAGATGCACTTGTGCTGCCCAAAATGATTCACTCACTTTTTCTTTGTTATTTAAAAAAATTTTTATTTTTAAAATCATCTGCAGACCACAGAAGATCACTCATTTTAATCAGTTGCTTTTTATTATTGATGTAGTGAGGTGATTATGGTTTCATGTTTTGGAAGTCACTGTCCTTTCTGCAACATTCATTAAAATGCTGTAAATATTCTACTAATAGTTTCCAGGAATTTGGAATCTTTGCTCTCTTTTTTTATGAAAAAAAGAGGAAAAAAATTCCCAACTTCCTGGATCCAGAACGTTTTGAAACTGAGCCCTTAACATGAAAAAAATATTAGTAAGAGACATTGTACTGGCATAAGTTAATATGCTTTCTGAGTAATATAACTTGAGTAAACCTCTGTCTAATAAAGGAATTATACCTTAGTAATATTGACCAGGTTGTCATGGAATCCAGCCTCCTCTGCATTGTGTTTTGCACCTTAGTTAGCAATCAAACTATATAATACAGAAATGTTTTGAAGTGCATTTTTGATAGGAAAGATTGGGGCCAATTCTAATAATGAATTGACATAGATTTGAGAATCCAAAAGTGCATCTTACAATAATGAAACGACCAAACAAGCTTTGTTTAGGACATGGCAGTTTGTCATTTGACCTGTATCAATAGGGATGGCATTAGGTCAAAGGTTTATGAAAAGAAAGTGATGTCACCCATGTTTAACTTAGAAACCTAAGAAGCATAAGGGAAGAAACTTAAATATTTGATATTTATGTTCAAAATACAAGAAAAGTTATATAAAGTTACCTCTCACGTCAATTAGAAAGAAGAAATGATTTTTTGAAATGAGCTGTTTGTGTCTGGCATTCATGAAATATAAAAAATTGAAAGTATGAGATGATGCTTCATCTCAGGTTGCTTGAATCTGCTACTAATGCCACTTTTGAAAATGAGAATATTTTGGTGGATTAATATTCATAGATGCTTGGTATTCACTGGCAATGAAATTGGAGAGAGCTTGGGCTGGTGTATTTGATGTATAAAGTGGCTTATATTTGAGCTTGTAAGAGTGGTTACCAATTAGGCACACTTGGTTTGGCATTGTAGGTCCTGAGCTGTCCACCAAATCCACGGGATTGGATGCAGTATATTCAGATCTACCCAGTAGGGATCAATGAGTCCCTGATAGTGGAACTGAAGATGATCTGTGATTGTGACTGCGAAAAGCCAGGCAATCCTGTGAGTCTCTTTCCCTTCCTACATGCAAATGAAGTCCTTGTTGCATCAATGACTGCATGTTCCCATTTAATATGTAGGGGTACAAGCCTCCATCCCTTGCTACTGAATGCAATCATCATGGAAGCCTCCAGTGTGGGAAATGCGTGTGTGACGACTCCCACTTTGGACGGTTCTGTGAGTGTGATCTGAACACAGATGACTTCTATGATAATCAAAGTGGATGCCGGCCTGGTAACTCCACAGACATCCTGTGCTCTAACCGAGGGAATTGTGTCTGTGGAGTATGTGAATGCTTCAAGAGACCAAATCAAGATGAGGTTAGTCAAATTTGTCAACTATGTAGCCAAATCAATAGTAGGATTTAGTTGGCCAATTTAAAGTGAGGGTTTCCAAGTGACTTTGGTTTGTACATATTTTTAATACATTAAGTTATTAATGAAGAAGAGTTAGAGGGAAAAAATTAATTTATTGACTGTAGCTCTCTCTGTAGCTACTCTATTTGTAAGTCATTAATGAATGTGGATATGGGTATGACTGCTCAGCATTCCTATGTTTTCATGTTTTAAATAAGGGGTTTTTTTTTGCTTGGTTATTTTTCTAGGTAATATCTGGGCCATACTGCGAGTGTGACAACTTCTCTTGTGATCGCCATAATGGGCTCCTCTGCAGTGGACCAGAACACGGGGAATGCCTTTGTGGGGAATGTAAATGTAAAGGAAATTGGATTGGGCCAGCATGTGGATGCTTGAACACAACTGATTCATGCTACCCACGTGATGGAGGAGAGATGTGTTCTGGAAAGGGTGAATGCATTTGTGGAGCCTGTGAATGCATTGAAACTGAAGTTGGCCGTTACTCTGGAAAATTCTGCCAGGAATGCCCTGTAAGTTCATTGTGCCTCTTTTACTTATAACCAAATGTAAGAAGTTGTTTCTTCTTATGCCTTTTCACTTGCTCTTTGTGGCATATTTTTGAAGATTCATCCTTTGAAAGAGGAATTTATTGAGCATATCCTTAGACTTTTCCCTTGGAAACTAGCAGTATGTGAATGAGTGTATCAGTGCTATTGAAATGCATATATAGGTTTTCTAGGTCAAATATAGAAAAACGAAAGTCATATGTGACAAGGAAAGTCAAATGCAACTGATATGCAAGATATGCCATACCCTTGGTTAAGATTTTGTAAAACTCGAGAATTGACAAAAATCTGAAAACATATCAATTATAACTTTGAATGGTGAAAGTGGTTATTTGCTTTTCAGAATTTTCATTGTGTTTATTTTGTTTTTTAAATATGTGATAATGCTGCGCATTGTTATCACCAGAACTATTCAATAAGATCCATCTCACTCAGTAACTAGTGAGGATATCACTTTGAAATTTTCACAGAATGTAAAGAACATTTTATTCTTGGTTTTGAGCTAAAGAAATCTAACTTGATATGGATACAAGTATATCTTCCAGTTGAATGAATCATTTTCAATTTTCTGGTAAATGAAACTCATTTGTTGAATTTTCATAGAACCTTTCATTATTTTTCCTGATAAAAAAAATCGCTGGGTCAAGACATTGCTTCTTATTGTAGAAATGCCCCTTCTAAATTTGGTGTGGACATGTATAAAAGTTTTTTTAGAAATTAGGGATCTGTATCTACAAATTTGGTGTCATTAGCATGTCTGCCATATTGGACCATGTGACTTAATTTACATGATTGAAAATTTCCAATAAAATCTTTTCTTCAAGTCATTATGGTCTTACATGCAAAGTTTCAAAGCCCTTAAGGGTATAGTCTGATTTTTTCTTTCATTTTGGGTTATACCTAATCTTAAGGGGAATGCCTACTCATTACGTTTTCACAATATGCAGCTGTTACACATGATGCTCCTTTTGCAATTAATCTTATTCGGCAATTACTGATATGTCAGGGTTAGTCATAGAAATATGATACCACCAACCATTTTGGGCAGGATGACAGATTTCACATGAAAGAATTGAGAGGAAGATATGGGGCTCTCCTTAGCCCTCAACTGGTATTCTTGGTTTTTTTTTCATTGTGTAATTGCTATCATTTGGGTCAAATTCATCCCAGCAATAAAAATGTCAATGGACTAAAGTTTTTTTTTAAAAATGAGTAGTGATTTATTGTGGAAGTCTGCTAACTTCATTGTAGTGAAGTAGCATGGCAGTAGCATTTTCCTAAGACTAACCCTGATGTATCAATAATTGCCAAATAATATTATTTGCAATAGAAGTGCCATATGCAAATGTACCTGTAGCTGCATGTTGTGAAACTGCAGCAAGAAGGCACCCCCCTAACACAGATATGGTATACCTTGTGCACCTGTCGCATTTTACTTATGTTGAACATGTCCTTATGTTGAACATGCTTTTTTTTAAGTTCAACCTCCACCTCAGCAATACATTTGACCTGACTGATGTCATTTTTGATGCTTTCAAGCAGCTCAGTGACACATTTGAATTTCCTCATTGCATCTGTCTCTCTTTTGTTCTTATTTGATTTAGAAAACCTATATTACCTACAAAAAAAAACAATGTCAGAGTTAGGCCAACATGAATATTTGCACTTTTGATATTCAAGAGGATAGAAGCATTTCACACTGGGAACATGAAACTGGAATTCACTTTTTGAATGTTTGATAAATCAAATTTCAGTCTTCCCAACAAGCTTCTCTCTATGAACTACTGAGATGAGTTGGGGACAATATTATTTTGTATGCTGAAATTCGCCAAGAATCACTTCCTAGAGCCTGTTCAATGAAATTGATGAAAAAAAACTTGAAGGAAGAATAAATAATATGATGATAACAACCTGAATGAACCTTACACAGACTGATGTATGCATCTTTATAGGATTTACCATTTCTGTAGAACTTCTGATTTGATTTTGATTTTGAGGGTGTACTATAGAAGGATGCTTTTCCCTGCAGACTTGTCCTGGGCGTTGTGAGGAGTTGAAACCATGTGTCCAGTGCAAAACCTTCAAATCAGGAGAGCTTTCTGAAGAAGAATGTGATGCCTGTCCTTTTGTCCCAGTTGAAGTGGATGTTGCTCAGGGTCAGTAGCTTTCTCTCACCCATTTCTCTTTTCTTATACTTGCCTTTTTATAATTTTTGGGGGGAAAAACTGAGAAACTGCACAGATTGAGACAAATGGGTAAAGATTACTATTACAGCAAGATGTGGCTGCAATGCACATTTGAGAGGAAAGACATCCCTTTAACTAGACATTACTTGCTGGCATTGACTTATCTCTCCTGTTTGTGACCAAAAATTGTTCCATGATCAAGGGTCCAGGGACTGTGAAGGCAACTCCATTAGCTAATGTGGATATGTGAGGCTGTGACCTCAGGAAGAAATTTAAAATTCCTACTAGTGAGAGAATTTTTTGTTGTTGGGATCTTTCTAATCTTCTAGCATCATTGATGGTGTTACCTCACATACAATTATTAAAATAATTTGCCTTGATACAAATATCAAGAGGAAAGAAAGTGTTGCATAATAAAATGGAAAATAAATTATCAGAATGTAAGACTTGTGTGATGCTACATGTTCATCTTATCTATTGATTACAGAGGAGAATCCCGATGAGAGGTTGTGCACATTCACTGATGTTGACGAATGTCGTTTTTACTTCGTCTATGGCTACAGTGATGACACCAATGAACTCATTGTCCGAGTTCAGCGCACTAAGGACTGTCCCCCTGTCATTGATATCCTTGGTATGTCTTGATTTACTATTGCAAAATTCATTCTTAAGATAATTTCTTATGGATCATAACCTTTACATAATGATATTGTCTTGATTTTAGGAATTGTCTTGGGAGTCATTGGAGCAATAGTGGCACTTGGAGTGGCTGTCCTATTGCTATGGAAAATCCTCACTACCATTCATGACCGACGGGAGTTTGCAAAGTTTGAGAAAGAACGAATGCTTGCCAAGTGGGACACGGTCAGTTTTTTGCAGCTCCTCAGTTTGCCATCAATTTTACATTCATCCTATTTGACTCACGCACTTTAGTGAAATGGAGTGAACTTGAGCTCTGCCTACTGAAGAGCAAATCCAGTCACTTCCAACCCTCTTCTAATAAAAGTCTCAAGCTCAAGTTCCTAAAAATCATAATGATACTTTGAACATTTACCTTCTTTTAAACTTTGGAGACAAGGATTGAACACATTGCTCAAAGCAGGTCTTTGTTTCTTCCACAGGGTGAGAATCCTATCTTCAAGCCCTCAACATCAACCTTCAAGAATCCTACATATGGGGGGAAGTAGAGAGTTAACAGTCCTCTACGTAAAGAATCTCAGGTGCATCTCATGGACATGTCAGGTGTGCCATATTAAAAGGGTTTGAGGAGTTGAAAAATCATAACTCTGAAGTCATCCTGCAATGTGTGGTGCTCATCTGCAAGCTTCCTCTTCCTAAGTGATCAAGTACCTGCTGGTGTTTTCCTGATTTCTGGTACTTGTGAGGAAGCTTCTTTGTCCAATTTTTTTTCTGATGGATTTTTTAGACTTAATCACAAAGTGACACTGGTGTTCTGTAATTACACAAACTAAACATCAGAGATAGGAGATCTCCTTGGCATGAAGCACTGTGGATTTCAGCTCTGCATAAGTTGTCTTCCAGCTACTTCATATGTTGAACTCAAAATTCAGACAATTTATGGGCTTAAAATATGTTAATACTGGTAAGCTGCAAATTTGATTCATGCTTATTCTTTGATGTGATCTCTATTGCTTGAGTGCTTGTGTATGAAATAGCTTGTCTTCTTAAGCCAGTTACCACTACTTTCATAAGTAGTAGCATTCACAATCATCCGTCTTGTGCCAGTATAGTCTCAAACATCTTAAACATGCACAGCGCTATACAGTCTTTCGTCTTTTGCATTTCCTACTGCCATACTCAGTGAAGCGTCCAGTCTTCCTCTTCAAGGACTTTTCCTTTGTCATTAATTTATTCACTTGGTAGACTATGTGAATTCCTTGTTGTCACTCCTAATCAGGATGAATGAAGACTTTGTTCAATGAAACCTAAATATGTGTTTATTCTATTGAAGTCCAATTACCCTTTTCTTGCAATGGGGAGCATCCACACAATAGGGAATGTCACATGTGCTTCTGTAGTGCACTCCAGATGGTGCCAGCATCTTCCCAGGACACCACCTGGCATTTGACTTGATTCTGGAATTTTTCCAGTTTCTTCTGAAGGCTGTATCCTTCACGAGGAAAGACAATATCACGCTCACCCAGTCGTAAAGATGGACAGATATCATTGCTGCCATCACCAATGTATGCAATGCAATCAAATGTACTCCCATTCCTTGTTGCATCAGATATATGGCCCTCCATCACAGAGCCCTTACACAAATTAGTTGTGCACAGTTCGCACCAGTTTTGCTGATGATATGGCTTAAGCCTTAGGACTCCATCTGCATCAAAGGAAGCTGGATTTGTAAATACCTTCTTAAAAATAGAAGTGAATCCTTTGTTGTCTAAAATAGTCTGAATGAAACATTGATTAGAATCAGAGATGATAATGGCTTCAATGGAGTCTTGTTTCTGTAAGACATGAGAAAGGAGGGCAGACATTCCAGGTGCAAAAGGAAGTTCTTTCATAAAGTTTTGGATCTGGGAAGATGTGACTTCATTTTGATGAAGATAGACAAACACCTCCCGCATGAATGGTGTCCACCCACGATCAGTATACAAGGACTTGATGTGGGGAGGGATCTTTCCATTTGGTGCTAGCTCCTGGACCAGAACGTCACTGTTCCCATCAATGATGGTGTGATCAAAGTCAAACACCAACAGGAGACGAGACATGACTCTCTTCAATGGACCACTGCAACCAGCTCTAAGCATCCAAATCTGTAAACAAAAGGGATATTAGAAAACTGGCAAAAACCTTATAGAAACAAAAAAAAAAACTCATTATTCTGACCTGAGTTTCAGTGGTCCACTCTGATAATGCAGACCATTGATATATATTCCAACATATACATGTATGGCCCACGTGACAACTTATCCATGGGAAAATTGCCAACTAATGGATATACTGAGTGGATATAAGGATGGATGTTGTAAAATGTAATCCATGTCAGCAACAGTTACACAAAGTGAATGCAATTCCATATGCAAATAATTTGGTCTCTTTTTAGATAGAATGTCATATTGTCTCAATGTGTCAAAAATGTTGGGTATGACCTCAAACTAAGACGGTGAATTTCATCTCTAAGTTTCTTCATCTGGTCCTGTTGAATCTGAATGATGTCTTGAAGCTGCCTCTTCTGAATGGCAAAATCCATTCGCATTGATGTCCTTAAATGAACATCTTGATCTTGGATTGATTGCTGTCTGAGAGTTTGAGTCAACTCATCTGTGTACTTGGCAAATTCCAAATTTTCCTCTTCTCTCTCTGTAATATGATGTTGGAGAGAAGCCAAGTGCTGCTGCACTCGATGCATCCAGACCTCATGGAACTCCTTTGTCATTTTGGTCTGTTGCAAGATGGTATCTAGTTTCTGAGCAGCATATGCTTGCTCTTTCATTCCACTCTGCAAGACTCTTTGAATTTCCTTGCTCAAAGACAACTTATTGATGTTACTGATATCTTCACGAAGGAAGCACATCTTTGTTTCAAGGTACTCCTGTTCCCATTCCATGCAAGCAATCTCATAATCAACATCTCTTCGCTTCTGCACCTTGTCTCTGTGACTGGATTCCAGTTTATCTACTTGCTGCTTGATAGTTTCTGCTTCTTGGAACTCTATCATTGACAAAGAAGGTGGAGGACAAAAGATACCCAACTGCATGTTGCAACAGCAAAGTTGAGCCATGGGAACTGGAATGCAGATTTTCACATTTTTACTGCAGGCCTCCCATTCTGAGATCAACTGAGAAACTTCCTCATTCATCATCTTCAGTTTGCACTCTACTGTATGAAGGTTTACAAGTTTTTGAGCCCATTCAGGGTCTAAATCACTCCTCACTTTCTCTTCTGCACCAAGTGCCTTCTGAAGGAGATGTCCTTGCTTGCAAAGATGACAGGCTTTCTTCCATGTTTTATCATCTATACCTTGTGGCCTATCAGGCACCCTAGGGGCTTCAGTCATCAATGAACTTGCCTTGAACCAGCTTCTAAGAACAGTCACTTGATCAGATCTTAGTCGAATACAAAGATCACAGAAAGATTGCTCAATGTTGGCAAATTTCAACCTGAGAGAATTCAGTCTTTGGTCACTTGATTCCTTTGCACTAATGATGTCCGAGTGTTTTTCACAGAGGAGACACCTCTCTGCCTCTGATACTCGAATGGATTCTCGAGTTGCTTCAATTTTAAGCTCGAGCTGTCTCTGGACATAAACTTCACGTGATAAGGAAGCCATAATGTGCTCCATCCTGCGAATAACAATCGTCACAATCCTACGCAACCTCATTGCATCTTCCATCTGGGCATCGAACTCCTGACTTTCACTTTCAATAGCTTTTCTCAAAGTTTGGACCTCCTTGCTCAAAGCTCTGCAATAGGCCCTACGATCAGCTTCTCTCTTTTTCACTTTGGCAAGATATTCTCCATGCTCATGTCTTTCTTCAGCAGTCCAATCGGATGTAGTCTTTAGAGTCAAGAAATCTGGTTTGGGAATATCTTTCTTTAATACCTCTTGCCAAGGGAGTTCCAGCACTCCTTCCATCATTCGCTGAAGAGATTCTTGGAAGAAGGTGCTTTTTTCAAATGAAAGGGAACTATTGGATTTTGCCTCGTGAGAATGGGATGTAGCAGCTGTGTCTAAAGACTGACTCAGGGATGACTTTCCATTCTGAGATGCTCCTTCGATTCCTTGCCCATCAGGGCTTGTGCCATGTTTTGAAATCCTAAGGTTCAGAACATCATTCTGCTGCTTCATCTCATTTGCCACTAAATGCCAGAATGGCAGACCAATAGGAAAAAATGAATTCAGGCAACCAAAAAACTCAAGCTCTTTCTTAATAACTTCCATTCTCTGATTGCGCTCCTCAAATATCTGAATCATACGTTCTTTCTTGCTCCATAAATGCTGAAAATGTGCATTGAAATGCTTCTTTGCCTCATATATGAGGAGCTCCAACAGGAGAATTTGCTCCATCTTCTTTTTTGTTGAATTCAGTTCTTCCTGTGGATGCAACAGCTTCAAGGTGTCCTCAAGAGCAGTGAAAAGGCCTGGGGGGCAGTGGCTGCCAAGGATACTTTGACTATTATCCTCATGCTTCTGATACCGCAATTCCTGCATACACTTATTACGAATTTCAAGACATTCCTCCTTCAACTCTAGTGAATGGAGAGGAAAATTTAAAATAAGCTTATTCTGATCATTTTGAAAGCCTTGCAGATATTTTTCAGTTGCATCAAACTCTTCGATGTATGTGGCTCGAATGACCTTAGCCCAGTAAAAGTACTTCAACTCGTCCATTTTCAAAGTCTGTTTCAGTTGGACAAGTTGCCCCTTATGTGAAGACTGCAAATTCTGATATTCTCCAACATTTAGCATGAAATCTTTGCTCTCTAAACGGTACAATTCCTCAGAAACTGTATTGAGGTCTAGCAAAGAGCTGAGCCCACTCATGATGTCTCTGAGATCTTCCTGAAGCTTTTCTTTCATGGGGGAGTACTTGATTATTTCAACTTCTCGAATTGACTGCAAACGTCTGTCTTCTATGGTAAGATCATGGATGCTTTCATTCCAATTGAGATCTATAAGTGGGAGTTCTCTAAATGCCTCCTCTTCCTCTTGAACCATACCCATGTCCATAGAACTGGTCAAGTTGTATACACTCGGACTGATGTCTATGTGCTTCCAAAGAACTTGATTTGCCTTCACAACAAGCAGATCAGACTGTGATGGACAGTATCTGGAACATCGATACCCTTCATGACCAAACTTCTCACTCACTTCTGTTTTTGGACAATCACCATTCCATGCAGATATTTCTGTAAGCATTCCATCTCTACCACAGCAGTACACATTTGTACCAGGAATCAATACTTCAATCCTTAAAGAGTGCAGTGTTGGGATCTCCCGCATGTACTCAAGGACCTCGTGACTTCCATCTCTGCATCTAAGTTGCCAATGAATGATTGCTCGATTGTGATAACTGGCAGTGAAGACATGAGGTGGCTTGACAGCAAAAGCAGTGCAAGGGAAGCGAAGATGGAGTAAGCACTCATTGGTCAATTCTGATGCACTGAGGTTCTTTCTCACAAGCAAGTCACCTGCTTTCATAACTGATGTCTGAATTGATAGCCAAATGGAATTAATGGGGGCACATGGAGATTCTATGATGGAGATAATATCACCTTTGAGATCACTGCTGTACAGATGCTTGAATCTGTTCTTTGCAAGCAAAGAGAAGACAAAAATCCTTTGTGAAACTTCAGGAAAGGTTAATAAATATTGGCCACAACGGGATACAAAGAGCTTGCAGATCGGATCCACACACACACAGAGTTTGCACTTAACACTGAGCTTCTCATTTTCAGTTGATATGAGGATGAGGTACCCATTGTCTGTGCCAACAACAACCAGGGGTAGGAGAGGTGATACAGCTAAGCAGAGGCATTTCACCTTCAAATTCAAAGTGTCCAACAGCTGGTCTTCATGTCTTGAATAGAGGAACACTTTTCCATCACCTTTGAGACTGACAAAGCATGAGGGATAGGTAGGAATGACACAGGCATCCACAATACCAGATTCATCTATCCTGTCATTTCCCTTTTCTTCACCATCAGCTGCCATCCTACTTTTCACTACAAATGACCTCTTGGTTATGGCATGATATGAAGGATAATGGATAGTTTTGGCAGAGTTGACGGTATGATATGATACACCTGCTTTTGATTGTGTTGAGTATTAGTGTACTGAACTATAAGCTCCCATATGGAAAGATCATATATGGTAGTTCGATGCAATTATCTATGCCAATTAAATTAACATTGTAATGCATTGAAATATGAATACATATGAGAGCATATATGGTTGAATCATAAGATCCATGTAAGGATTATTTATATATTAAACATACCTGGGCAGTATATATGTTCTACATGAAATAATTCTGTGGTTTGAGGGATGGGACTCAACATATATCCAATGTGCCAAACCCCATATATGTATATATATTTAGCCAGTCCAACATACATGGGCACATATGACCATATACGAAACATATATGGGGTTTGGCACAAGTCATATGAAATCATATAAGAATGAAAATATATGACCCCATACATTTTCATATATTGGCTCATACAAATGCATCATATACTGTCCACATATGCCATGTCATATCTATGTAAGGTAAGGCTACCTGAAACATGCCTGTATCCAAAAAGGGTCCATAATCCATCAAATACTGTATAATCATTCATATATAAGTCACCCTATTTTACTTGCAATCAACTCAATTTTAATTGTTCATAAACCACAGTTACTCCAAGAACTCATGTTTCATGGTGTTCAACATATGCAGCCTTGTTAATAAAGGTGAAAGTTTCAATATTATAGACATTAACCTTCAAAAGTACTTTCATCAGTAATGCTATTTCATGAAAAAACTTGGCTTACTCATGTAGGAGTGTCTTCTTCATTTTGACTGACAACTCACGAGATAGATGGGAACAAAAAGGGTATTTCTTTCTGAAATAATCCAATGAAGGAATTGTTCAATGATGACATGACATGGCATGTGCACTTTACAACAAAAAATGCATCAATACAATGGAAAAGACGCATGAAATGCATGATCCATGTCCCAAAAACTCCAGTGGCCCCTCCCACACTTTTTTCATCTGTGACATGCTTAGCTACCTAGAACAAGTCGAAATCCCAACTGGAATTTTCCAGCCGGACAGAAGCTGTATATTCAGGCCATTTACAGCTGGCAAAGTGCTGAAAAATGGTAGATACAGGTTTTTTTATGGCTGAAAATTTACCATTAGAATTTTATGCAGAGGACTCTCCAGTTAGAATACCACTGAATTTGCAGTTGAAATTCAGCTGCTTCTGTAAATGGACCTCCAGCAAGAATAGCCAACAAAAACATTCTCATTCCACCAGTGTATTGCAATTAAGAACAATCTGGATCTGACTTTACTTTCCAGCTCCTACCCAGTTGGAATGGGTCTGAATTTCCAACTGAGGTGGAGCTGGAAATTATAGCTGTTTCCAACTAGGATTTTAAGCTGTGGGGGTTTGAAATCAAACTTTTGGCAAATTACTTAAAAGGTTATATGTAGCTAATATTTCATTTAAAATATAATGGATGCATTAAAAATTAGTTGCAGAGGCATCTGAAGATCAATTGCCCTCGTGTGTCACAACCTCATGCAGTGGCATATTTTACAGGGAGAGGGCAGGGGGGTGCAGTTGTCCTCTCCTGGCATCCCTTGGACAGGGCTTTACTCTGCTGTCCTGTCCCTCCTGACTCTTCAGTCAAAATACACCACTGACCTCATGCTATGTTTTACAAACAACCATAAGACTTGTCTATGGATATTCATCACATATCACATAATGTCATTTTCCCATCATACTTAATATTGCAAAGCAGGTAAAATATATTATACACCATACAATTGTTAATAGATGAATACATATATGGTGGTATGTGGTAAATATATGATCATGCATGACCATATAGAATCATACACTCTGTCATATATGAAATTTTCATGTGGGATTATGTACCTGGTTTAGGAATATGATTTCTATGAAGGACTTCCATATATTGTATATACATGTTCAGCATGCATGCTTTCATAACAAAATATATTGCTAGGAATATGTACCCCTAAGAATACATATCCCTTATGCAATAAGGTACAGTAAACAATTCATATGGTATAGTTATACCCACACAGCACAATGACATTCCAGGGATGTCTCCAACTGGACAACTTGTTCCAAGGTCTTTATGTGATGTTTTAACATCCTTAGTCAAAAAATACCATATTTTATTTTTAAAAGGTCATCCTGTATGGCAGAGAATGAGTCTGTTTCAGAAAGGAAGGCAACCAAACACTTTTATATCGCAAAGAAGTCCCAAGTAGTTATCTTTGGGATGTACTTGTGCTGTTAGAAGTGAATGGTTTTTATATATTCACTGAAGTGACAGATGAAATGACAATTCTCAGCTTAGTTCCTGAAGTTATTTTTTACATTTGGGAGAGACTTTTGAGAGTGGCACGATTTCATGTATGATTCATATCTGATTCGGCCATGTCTCTCATCAGGTGTGACATATATGCCCCACTTTGTACTAGATAGATATACTAAGTCATACAAGTATCTTATCTGCTCCTCCATACCTTTTACAAATATGCTTTTTATCAAATTTTAATCTGGCCTTGCATAAGTGATCGTATGCTCATTATTTCAAGAAGATATGATCAGATATTTTCCCCCCTATATGTTTATATAATATCATATATGTTCCATATATCATAAATGCCCATTTCTCATAAAATCATGCATTATTTTCCATATGGATTCCAACTCTAAAATATTGAAATAGATCTAAAATGGATGTACTTCTTTTAATGGGCCCAAATAAAGTTTTGGATTTGATGTATCTGGCCAATGTGATACATATCCTGACAAAATAATTGGGTGAAAAATAAATGCTAGAATACAAATTTGCCTGGATATGATGTTTGCAGGAATGATTGGTGGCTGAAAAACTGGCAGAGAGATGCCAGTACAAGGCGAAATGTCATGAACATGAAAGATTCTGATCGAACAAGATTTTGGAGACTTCCTTGCGTTTGCCAGGCTACGTATATGGGCATTAAAAGCAAATCCGTCCCTCTCAGCCACACAAGAAACGAGAATCAACGACTTCAAAATATTGCACATCACGTAAATGTTTGATCAATAAAAGCTCACCTCCCAAATAAAGTCGGTGTGGACGCGCTGAACAAAGACAGCACGTGATCTCGCTGCCAGAACTTGAAAAAACTCGACAAATCCAAACACATTGATTCCAGCTGTCACAGATCTACAGAGATTTATCGGATGGACGAACTCGCCGTAGGAGCCCAGGCTCCTACGTCCTCTGGCATGGCCTCCTCCATGCACTCACGTGTGGCGCCCAGGTCCGCCTTCGTCAATAACAGCTGTGCCGGTGGATAGCGAAGGGCCTTAGCTGCGTTTTGGAATTATCTCATCTTCTGAGATCGTAATCGAGCTCGGGACATCTCATTTCAGTAAAACAGAATAATTCATCATTCCTAGGATGGCGAGATAACACAGGACTGTAATTTTCAGTGTCATCTTTTTGTCCTTTCTTATGTATTGTGACCTTACTTCAGATGATACGGAAAGATACAGCTGTGTATTGAATAGTGCTTGAAAATGTGAGTCAACAATGGATGAACTTATAAGCTTGCATATCCTTTTACACAGATATCAAATTGCATTGCATTACAAGGGCTCAGGAAAGGCAACATGGGATTCTTTGGTCAGGGAACAGCTTCTTCTATAGGGATTCCACAGCCTTGAAGTCACCAGCTTACAAAACAATATCATTCTTCATTAGAACAGGAAGCAGGAAGTCAACGAAAGGAAGAAAAGAAACAGATTAGATATTTCATAGATGGACTGTGTCTACCTCTCTGGTATGTGGGGCCTTGGGATCATTTCACGTGGGTGTTCCAATACTAATGTATTTAAAGTCATCGAGGTCAGGTGTTCAAAGAGTGTAGGTGACAATGCAGTGTTTTTGTGATGAGTTCATGCACCCTCTAAATTCAGACAATTGTTTCCTATGGGCCTGACAGGAGTGGGACTAANCTATTCCTCCAGATGCATGTATAATGCGAACTGGTATTCAGCAGATGTCCCAAGAGTTGAAATACCTGTAGCACCAGTGTCCTTATGAAGTGATTGAACTCATTATGAAAACACTATATAGTTTTTATAGTTTATTTTTACAAATCCATCAACAATTTATGTATGAGTGTGAAAAATCTATGTTTTTATTGTATCTGGTTTTTATTATCCAAGTTTAGTTTTCTGGAAACCTCATCAAGGACTCTAGGACTGGAATTGACTTCTCTATAAAAGCATCCCAAATAGAAGACTTTGTTTCTTCCTACTACAGGATATCCATAGAATCAGAGGCTAGTAATACAAATTCTTTTTGCATAGAAATGACATGGCAGAATCAATTGTAGGAGCTAAGCTAGGAACATGTATTTCAAACTGTCCATTTGTCAGGAATGGTGACCTTTGGTTTCATTCAATTATTAGTTGGTTTATTAGGCCCTTGAATGACTCACCTTGATCGGCACGGGTGGGGATGGGATGCCCAGTATCAAGACCTATTGGGATGATGGGCTTGGCAGAGAGCAAATGGTATTCAGGAAATAAAAACTCATTCTGGGCTTCTATTCCAATCACACATGATCCCACCTCCCCTGGTGCCCCCTTGGAGGTAATGTTTATTTCCCTTGATATTGTTCTGGTGGGGGCTTTGGTGCCTCCACTCTGCTGCCCTGCCCCCTCTAACTCAGCCAAAACACTCCACTGCCCATTGGTATAATGTGCTTTTGCCATCTTTTGTCATCTTACCCTAACCTAGACCTATGAAGTAGGCATGGGGCATACTTCCTGTTTGATATTATTCAATGAATTTTTTTCCTTCCTTAGGAGTTTCATGTGTTGGGTCCTGATGCCATTTTAAAGGCTGTAGTCTTTTCTGCCTGTTATGTTGCAGTTATTGAACTGGTATACAATGAGGACTTTCCCAAAATTGGTAGGGGGCCTGTCAGATTTTTTTCGGTCTCCATTGAGCAATACCAGGAAAAGCCAGTGGTGTCAATGGAAAAGAGCAATGCATCAAGTGGAATTAACCTCCGTTAGGTATCCAAATGTGAAGCGGGGGCCATATGCAACAGTTGATGACAATGATATCAAGTTCTTTGAGCGAGTCATGGAACCCAGCAGAGTCATGACAGACCCTGATATTGTAGACTCCCATAATGTGGACTGGCTCAAGATGGTCAGAGGTAAGTCCTCTTCTGATGCCATCTTGTACTTGTGCATATTTATTAGAACCATTAAAAGATATTTAGAGATGCTTTTGCCTCAAATTGAACCTGCTGTTCGTTTATTGTCTTTATTTTTCCATCACGGTAAATATTCATTTTAGTTCAGGCGCAGTGCCAACCATCCACAGCATTTTGTATCCTCCTGTAATGCTGGTTTTAGGAGTTAATCTGATTCATACTAGATGGTTAAACAGGTGAAGTCGATTACAAGATCTTGTTTCATGTCATGACCCATTTTCATATGATTATTGGAGACTTAATATTCTTTGACTGATGTGGATGAAATATAGATTAGGAGTCAAATGTGACTTGAGGTGACCTTGTGTTCATAGCATGTATCTCCACTTCCATATTGATCTTTCTTTGCTTGCCATTTCAACTCATGAGGATGTAATTCCTCCAAAGTCATTCTGCATCCCTCTCCCTGAGTACTAATTCCAATTTTCTCTCCCAGGAGCAAGCCAAGTTCTTCTTCGACCAAAGTCAACTAAAGAAGTCAGTGAAGTGCTGAAATACTGCAACACAAGGAGATTGGCTGTGTGCCCTCAGGGAGGAAAGACAGGGCTTGTTGGAGGAGGTGTTCCTGTTTTTGATGAAATCATCATCTCAACTTCCCTCATGGATGACATCATTGCAATTGATGGAATTTCAGGTTGAGAATAGTTTATCATATTCTAATCCAGCTAATGAAATCAATCAAGAGTAAATTTTTTTTTGGTATTTCCCATCAGACTTTCAAATTGATTTTGTGGCCATAATGGGACAAAACAGTTAGTATTCTATTGGATATTCATGGGCTACAATGAATGATATTATCATGGTTTCATTTATTTCCTTTTTATTGATTTAGTATTGCTGGAGGCCAAAAGTAATGCTCCATTACTATTTTACATTAAAGGACAAAACTGCCTATGTGCAAGTTTTATATTTATGTTAAATTTTCCCTTAATTTATTGACTACAATTATATGTTTCTGGTTTTGTTGTAATGATCTGGTAGCTTCAAATGCTGAACCTGACTGCACCACAGTATTAGGTTGAATATATTGTCATATTATTTAGGTGCCTTGACCTGTGAGGCAGGCTGTATCTTGGAAGATCTTGACAATTATGCAGCTGGTCATGGATTCATGATGCCCTTGGACCTGGGGGCAAAGGGTAGTTGCCATATAGGAGGCAATGTATCCACAAATGCTGGAGGGATCCGGCTCATCCGTTATGGAAACCTGCACCACAATGTACTAGGGGTGGAAGCTGTGAGTTTTTGCATTGTATGAAGGAGACTTTCCTTGCAATTGGGAGCTCATTTATAACTTGGGATCACATTCAAAGGTTCTTGCAAATGGAGAAGTTGTTGATGGGCTCACTACAATACGGAAAGACAACTCTGGGTACGATATTTCGCACCTCTTCATTGGATCAGAAGGAACACTTGGATTTGTCTCCAAAGTTGCCATTGAATGTGTTAAAAGACCCAAAGCTGTCAATGTGGCATATCTAGGTAAGGTCATATCCTCCTTTCTAATGGATTGTACAGTCTGTAACTAAAATCATGAATCTTAAGACTTTATAGCAAAGGGATCATTTCTTGCCTAAACTTTGGAACTCACTACCCAACCTGAATTGATGCTGTCTTGCCAAAGTTATTTAATCCAAAACTAGTCCAAAAAACTCAGAAGGATCCAAATTTGTTCATTGACACAACTTCAGTTCGTGAAGATGTATTTTGCAAAAGACATAGTATGGTTTGTTTGGAAACTATTGGTTCTCTTTCCTCACCAGCTTTTCCCTTCAAAACACCTGAGTATCACAGTGAGATATCCCTTTTTAAGTTGCAGCATGATGACACTGCCCAGTCTTGATCCCTTTATCCAGGATGCAGTTTTAAACAAACAAAAAATAACTCTTTTTTTTGTCAATTCTTTGGAGACCTCTATAGCACTACAGAAACGATTATGAGCTTACCTGAATAGTAAGTGATTGTTGCATTTTACCCAAACAATGAAGAAACTTCAAACATTTAGGAAAATTTTACTTTTTTCCCTACCTGATATCTATGCTAATGGAAGCGTTGCCTTTGTGTATTGTAAAACGAAAAGCAGTACCTTAAACCAAGTGCAAACATGTGGTCAATTGCAAGAGAAATAAATATTTTACTGCAAGGAAGTGATGAGGGAAGTATTGGCTACCTCACTCCCTTCTCCTGGTAAAATAAGATATTCCTCCAATGCATTGAATCTTGGCAAATAGTTGAGATTTCCTTGACTGTCACCATTCGATAATGTGTTGGCATGTTTTAGGCCTGAAGAATTTCAACAATGTCCTGGCGACATTCCGTTTGGCAAGAGAGTCATTGGGTGAAATACTATCTTCATGTGAATTCATGGATGCTGAAAGTGTTCACTGTGTGGAGCAGAACCTCCATCTTCGTCTCCCAATTCCAAAATGCCCTTTCTACATGCTGATTGAGACAAATGGGTCAAATGCAACTCATGATGAAGATAAACTCATGACTTTCCTGGATCTCTTGATGAGAAAGAAACTTGTTATTGAGGGTACAATGGCCTCTGAACCTCGTCATATTTCTGTGAGTCCATGCTACCTCTCTCCTATATTGAGTCCTTTACATGACTGAATATAGGCACAATAGCATCTATACTTTAGTTAGACCACATCTGCATGATAATTTCTCTTGTAAGTTTTTGTGAGCTAACTTGTTTCTTTTGTGAAGAGACTTTCCATGAATAGGGATCATCCAACTCTTTTGAGAAAAAAGTAAAATCAACTCCATGGTTTTTTACATTAGCTTGACCCTTGTCTCTCATGGCATAAGCATATTATGATGGTGTCGAACTATTGGGTGTCACAGTGACTAGAAAAGTAGAGGGAACTAGTTATATATTTTATAAAAATGCACTGTTCTAGGATATTAATATTCTTGATGAATGAGGGAAAGCATCTTTGCTTAGATTGTGTTCTGATCCCAGTCATCTTTAGTTTTTGGTGGAAAGTATATTTATATAATGATGAACTTGCGTAGTGATAAAATCCATTATTTGTGCTGACAGAACCTGTGGCAAACCAGAGAGCGCATTACTGAGGCCCTCCTTCTGGATGGGTACACATACAAGTACGACATCTCCCTCCCTCTAACATATTTTTATCAGATTGTGGAAGAAATGAGGAATCGAGTGGGGAAGTACACCATTCGTTGCTGTGGGTATGGCCATTTGGGTGAGATTACCATCCTTTTCTTGTACAAGTGTTGCAACGAGGGGACATGCCTTCTCCCCTCTTAGTCTTCATCCCCTTTTCATTGTTCATCATGCTAGTTTTTGTCTGCATGCATGTAAGGGATAACAGTTATTTTTCTTTTTTTTTTTGCAAACCTTCACTCCTCAATTTTTTGTTAGTGTTTCCTAACTTGATCTCTGAGGAACTTATATTTTTATATGATTCTGAAAATTTGAAAGTTAATTTATTTTACCAAGGTAGCCTTTACATGCTGTGGACTACAGTGAAATTATCTGTATTGTCAGGTGATGGGAATCTCCATTTAAACATGACTTCAAAGGAGTTTAACGAACAGCTCGTGCACAAGATCGAGCCATACCTGTTTGAATACATTGCAAGGAAGAAGGGGAGCGTGAGTGCAGAACATGGGCTGGGCTTTAAGAAGCGAGACTTCATCCATTACTCCAAGTCACCAAGTGCTATCGAGTTGATGAGGCGACTCAAGAACGCGTTTGATCCCAATGGGATCTTGAACCCTTACAAGGTTCTACCTGATCTGCCGTAGTAATGCCGTGTTGATGGTCCTCATTTTTCTCATTCATAAGGTTAGTTACTTTCCTATGACTTCATCTGTGTTAATTCTCAAGGTTTTTGCTTGATTCTTGAAAACTTGTTCCTTCCTTGCCACTCAAGAAATAAAAGAAGACATTCTTGAATTGAAGTGCCTTGTGCAGAAAAAGGTTGCTTGTGCATGGAGCATATTATCAGCCATATTTAGAGATAGCACATCAGTCATGTTTCTCAATTAATATCCTTAAGTGGTCTGAAAAGTTAATTGTTCATGGTAGGCAAAAGGTTTACATGGAACAAACTGACATGGTAGTGACTTGTGCCCTAACTTGGCAGTATCAAATGTTTTCTCAAGGAATCCAATCTTTCCTCATGAACTTTTCAGTGCTTCCATAAAATATCAGGCACTTATTCTTCAATATGCAATGCAAGGAGGGAAAATTATAACTTCCATTTCCTTCCTGCCATGGTGTCAAGGCTTCAGCAGGATCCCCATAAGCCAGGGTAAACCTGGATGAGTTTGCAGTGAAGAAGTCAAGTCAAGTCAGGGAAAAGATCTGTGCATTGTTTTTTGTTGGTGCTGATCAAATACCCTCAAAATAAAATCCTTCACCATTCAAAAGTTTTGGAATTTCCCTGTGTTTCCTGAATGTCAGGGATTGCTCAACATTACTTCATCAGTTATTAGCTATGTGAATGAAGAATAAATGAGGATGATTGCTCTGTGAGAAATTAGTATATTAGTCATCAGAATTGAAACTGGTAAACTTAGAAAACTTTGGGAAAATTTATTCTAAGATTCATGGGGGAACCCTGTTAAGGCCTTAGTCAATGTCACCAGAGGGTGCGTACACTTAAGAGCATGCTTGGGAGTGTTGGATATGTCTATGTAACAATGAAAAGCTCTTATTGTTGAACTTGCATTGAATTAGTGTGATCTTTGCCTGTCATCTCAAGACTGCTTTCATCAGGATAGACCCCTCTTTTGACTTGGTCAAGCTTTCATCCTTAGAATTGCTGGCTTATTAGGAAAGAACTTCTGGAAGCATTTTCAGGATTTGTGTTTCCTACATCAAGTGCATGACAGTCTATAATTTTTGAGATTATGTATCTGGTGATCTGTTGGTTTCTCAAGAACTGCTTATAATTTGATTTTTTTCCAGGTGCAGCATGTGCAATACTCTGGAATGGAGAATAGAGAAAGATATTATTGCACCTTTGCACTAACTCATGGAGTCAAGTTGGTGCTGGCCGCCGAAGGAATGCCTCCAGAATCTCCTTACTAATTCACCATTCTCCCCCTTCTGAGCCTCAGTGTTGCTGGAAAATGGATGAATAAGATGGTGCATTGCAACTCTCACTGTGATATAGGCTACTCCTGGAGAGAACATTATGAGGACTTCCATGCATTAATCTGTGTTTATGAGTCTTCCAGTTCTTGTGTATTTCAACAGTCGTTGCCGTATGTCACACATTGAGCATCTCTTGAGAATTGGCTGATGCAACAAGTTGCTTTGTTTCTATACAAAGCCAATTGCAGTAATAAATGAATTGCATGGGATTCCCATGTTGAAAGTGATTCATAGATGGTGCTTTGGTCATGATCCAGAGACACACTCAAGGGGGGCTCAGGGGTTGAGCCCCTCTTATGTCCTGGCAACACCCCAACTCATAAATCATCTGCTTAATGCTGAGCCCTCCCTATCTGGAATCCTGCTTACACCACTGTTATGATCTTTACTTTTCTTAATAATGCAATTGTTGTCATTTTTTTCCCAACAAACAAGTTATGCATAAATTCCTAAGTGCAACTGTCAATCTTTTATCTTGATGATCCGGTCATTTTGCTTCGTTGCAGGAAATATACCAATTCTATTCTAAATGTTTTGTTGTGTAGCCTATTCTTCCACCAGCTGCAAGTGGTATGCCTACAAATATCCTCGAAATTGAGGGGGGGGGGGGCAAATGAAATGACTCAGTTGTGAAATTCGTGAAATTACTATTTAATTCAAACGCGATCAGGATATCAAATTCATGTGAAACTAGAATGCAAATATTCCCCTTTCCTCGGTTTTCTTTGCAAAATATTTCACCGATTTATCTCATTTCAATGAGTCCAAAACATCCCAATGTGCACGCATCAATGCGACGTCTGGATCCAATTCTTCATTTCGATGCCGAAGGAAGAGCTCTCTGCTGATGCATGCACGACATGCGTAGCGCGAAACCGCGTCTTTCGCGGGAAAGTATGAAATCCATGGCCACGTATCGAAGCACTTTGCCTTGAATGCCCTGCCCCCTTTTCTAGGGAAATGATATTTTTGCGACTGAACAGGGGCCACTTTCACTAACATGCCCAGGTTCCTGCACGATATTGTCCGTAGGGACAACCGATGATACGACACCGTCCAAGTTTTCCATTCCTGAATTTTCTTCATATTTTGCCGTCTTCGGCTTCGCAGTGAAATCAAAAAGCGTTCCAGTTCGAGCACTTCTCATGGCACCGAACCTCGATTCACCGTTCCACCATCAAAACGTTTGAAGCCCGTTCGAGCTGTAGCTGTTCGATGTTCTTTCCTTTTGCGATAGAATCTCCAATCGCGACAACGACATCCCAAACTGCTGCTGGAAGCATATCGGAGAGCATGGAGCGGATCTTCCAACGGTATTGCTCTCCTTCAACCGCGTGGTGAGGCCATTGCGGTGAACACGGCTCTCGAGGTCGCCCCAAAGCCAGAGGTCCGGTGGGTTGAGGTCCGCTGGGGTGAGGTCCGCTCCTTAACCCCTGATATGATTCAAGAAGCAGTTTGGAATGTGTCGTCGCGATCGGAGATTCTACGACCGTCGCAAAGGGGAGAGCACATCGAACAGCTATTATAAAAACGCATGGCACTTGTGGACCGCAGGCACCATCTAGTGCGACCACAATCCCATCTTAACCACGGTCGCAATCCCATCTTAACCACCATCTTAATCTTAGACCGCGCACGTTTTCTGCCGCATGGGGAAAATCGGTCCACGCGCCGAGTTTCTCAGCGTTGTGTCCGTCGGTTCTACATCAATATCTTCAACACATATCACTCCAATATTTTAATTTTATTTTAAAATAGGGCTAGCAATTCTGAGTTCGCTGAAAGTATTAACCCCATTTTTTTTTAAATTGAATCAAATATGTACAGGTACCCCGATTACACCTCGGGCTAAATGACGCATTCATGCATGCAGTAGGAATTCATTCGCCGAGAAACGATCAAAATCGGTTCGGCAGAACCAGATGTGATGTGGGAGCATTCGCAATGCTCTCGCGATTTTTATACGATATATTTATACCAAGAATTATCATCTGGAGCGTTTCCTTCGCCCGTTTCAACAGTTTGTATTTCTTGCGCCAGACTTGGAGGAAATAACGGGTGGATTTCACGAATTCGTCGAATTTTGACAACTTCGACAAATCGATCTAACCGCCCGTGATCAATCGACTAGCAGTTATTAGCGACCCAAAAAGCGTATTTGATATGTATGTAAACGAAATATATAAATAAAAATTAAAAAAAATTGTCAGCACATGAAGGGCTTCCCCGCTTACATTTCCGGCTAAGTCCTCGATGTTGATGCACTGTCGCGGATTAAGTTTTTCTTTCTCCGTTCTGAATCATGCAGGTAGATAAGATAGGATATGCGAATTTATTGAAAATGTAATCTATCTGAATAGTAGGGCCTCTGCCTTCCAATATTCGGCATGATCACAGGGGTGATTTGCCACATCGGCATTCACCTGAGCCACCAAAAGTTGGAGAAAAAGTCGAGAAAGAACTCCAGGACCTTGAACCAGAAGTCATCGAGAGGATCCCTTTGGTCCCGAGTCGAGGGCCGATCGTTTCGGGACCGGGACCGGGACTGGGACTGGGACTGGGACTGGGACCGGGACTGGGACTGGGACTGGGACTGGAAGTGGCAGCAGCGGACTTGGTCGGAGGGACACGGCAGGGCGAAGTAGAATTGAACGGGGGAACAGCCGGGGCGAGGCGATGGGACGCAATGGCAGGTGGTGACTCCAGGCTCGATTTCGTGGCCTCGGCTCGCGATCACGCCGCACATCAGGGCTAGCAACGTTCCTGTGGGAGAATTCGAGGAAGGGTCGAGTCGTTTCTCGTCGTCTCTCGGTCATTAAGCGGGGTCGAACTCACTTGGGAGAAGCATCTTCTTCGAGGAAGAAGCACGGGGGAAAAGGTGGCTCGGTGTCGGAGTGATGTCGGAGGGCGACTGCCGGGGGGATGTCTCTGGGTTCCCGTCTCGGGGGGCCTCGGGCTGCCTTCTCTCGGCAGGGAAGGCTCTCCAGCTTGAAAAAAAAAACGGGAGCCCCGAGTCCCCTCGATCGGTATCGGCTCCCACGTGGGCCCACGTGACGGCTGTTGCAGTGTGGATCGGCGTCTCCGTCCTCTGACGCCAGGTCTGAGGAATGCGAGGAAACTAGGTTGAAACTCGAACGCTGAAGCTCCCTTCAGTCCTTAATAATATACTCCTATGAAGGAGAGCACTTGCGATTAAAGGCCCTTTCGAGGGCGTCGGTACCTGCTCCGGGATCCCTCACTTTTTTCCCTTTTTTTTTTTAAAGCCTCATAAGGGTCATTCCGTCTCAAATCAGCCAGAGGCCGGAGCGCGGCCCCCTCCGATATCGGCGGAAATATTTTGTGTGGTGCCCCTCATGGCCCAAAGTAAGGATGCAAAATTTTGACTTCGGGTATGGGACAGTTTTGGCACAATAATTCGTTAAATTTTGTGAAATTTCAAAAAGGGGCACCTCTTCATGCTCGCGAGGGCCGAAAAATTTTCGACCAAAACGAACGCAGCAAACACCATTGTTCTTTAAAAAGGTTAGACTTTCGAAGTTATTTCATACTTTTATCCTCGAGGCGATACTGAATAAAATGAATCTATGTCAAATTTGCCAATTTTTTTGCATATTCAGAAATTTGCAAAGCGTCAACATGTTCATCAAACCCTATCATCGTGTATGTTTTTAGAATCAGCGGGAAAATATCTAATGACGTGTGTCCCATTTTTGTCCCAACAAATTCCACTTAAGGAGATGGGATGGCTCGAAATATGCACAAATCACAAATTTCGCAACAAAAAAAAAACACTATTTCCAATTGTATGGTGCTATTATCTATGCAGCTCAACAAACTTGATATATTCGCAGAATGTCTGCCGTTCACTTGAGTAAAAGATGAGAGCAATTTCAAATCTCAAATTTTTTTTTAAGGCATACCACACATTTTTATTCAGACCCCACCTCACGATTTCCTCCGTCGTTTTTAAGGCCAACAATTTCTCCCTTTGATTCCAGTTCTGAAAAAAAATTTTTTTTAAGAACTGGTAATGAACAGCATGGTTTTTTCTGGTCGCGTGATCAGACGAACGTTGTTTGGGTGCATCGGCTCCACATCAGTCTGCGGTTCCGCTTTCAGCAGATTTTAACTTTGCAGGTTGTTCTCGCTTCTCGAGTGCAATCAAAAGTACTTAAGCATATACTTAAGATTGAGAAATATTATTTAGTAAAAAAGCTATTTTAAGTACAAGTCCCCTTTTTGAGAAGCACCTAAGTAAAATAGTACAAGTACCTTTCGAATGTGGGTGAACTCCGGTACGTTGACAAGTACCACTTACAATGTCAATACTACTATTGCAAATGTAGATGCATGATTGAGGACTCTTCATTTGAAAAGAGGCGAGTGGAATGAGTTCCTTCAATTGTCTGTCAGGAAATTGACATTGCCAGTCAGCGAATGAGAAAATGCGTCCGAAAAATGTGTAACGCTTTGAGCAGTGGCACAAGGTTCTGGAGCCTTTAGCATATCCGTCGCATCGGCTTGCGGGAATTGCCAATTTCGAGACTGCATCGTCCTGTTGGCGTTGCCACTTTTGGCGCTCGGCGGGACGAACGTGGCTCTTCGTGGAGGAGGGACGTGCCTTCCTTACGTGACGGGCGGATCGCTTTCCTTCATTACAGACTTTCCGGGATCGCAAGAATGAGCGGGTGTTGGGATGCACGAGAGACGTTGCAATAAAGAAAATTCTGTGATGCACAGGCGTGAAAGAAGCGCTCGAGACGAAAACCAGGGGGAACGGACACGGTGAGTTCTTCTCTTCGTAAATGTATCTTCTATAATCTATGGCAATGGCCAGGTGCTGAAGTACTGTGTTATATCTGAATCCTCTCCGCCAATCACTCTGCCGGCATTCCATGAAGCTAATTCGTTCCAAAGGTTCTAGGCCACGCTCGAATGGCAGATGGCCTGACAATTGGCCTGTTGCATCTAGCAATCTTCGTGTTTAGTTATAGTCACGTTCTTACTTCGCTTCACTTCATTAGGAGGTGGAAACGGCGTCATATTTTCGGCGAAACATCGATGTTTGAAGATAGGTCTGTATTCCTTCTTTATATTACGTGGTTCCATGGCAATGCCCGAGTGTTAAAGTGTGAAGGTCAACATAACAGTCGGAGCAGATCCGAGTTGAACGCTAAGTGATCAACGTGACGATCTCAGCAATCCCGTTGATTTGCTACGCTTAGATCTGCCAAAAGTAAATCAACATCAGAGTTTCGATCCTCCTCGGGGGATTGCGTCCTCTCGGACTTGTGCTGGACCGAGATTTCGTTTGGTGGGAGAGAAACCTGCACATCAAATTCCTGCGATTCCTTATTTCCTTCGCGCGTTTCCCTTGTTCATCTGGCCTTGTCAATGTCATCCCGTTTTAGTCGATGCGTGAAATTTCTTCACCGGGAATTCGAATCGTTGCCCTCAGTCGTGTTTTTTCCATACGGATCGGATTCTAAATTCTCCCGTTGTTTCGTGTCAAGTCGATGTTTGCTGATTTCTCAGAGGCAGCAGAAGCAGTCGTCCGATATCATTCCTTCTCTTCAACCTCTCTTAAATCGTCGTTGTCATTTTCACGGTTCGTGGGAAGTTATTAAGTAATCCAGAGCACAGTCCCAAGTGGATAGAATCGGTTAAAGCTTTTGCTGTCCCCACTCTCAACCCATTTCCATACTGCAACCGACTTGAAGGACCTTCAGCAGAATTCACTAGCTTCCAAATATTGTCTTTCGTTGTGCTCATCGGCCGTATTGGAAAATTTCATTCAATTCAAAATAATGTAATAAATGATTTCTCTCACAATTAGCTTGGGACACAAATGCAATTTTTGTGTAGCTTAAACAGGCTTGCCCCAACTGTGCTTGGGACTTGGACGTAGGTTGATGTTCTGTTTGCTTAGTTGAAGACTGTGTTGACCAATGAACACGATCTACGGCAAGACCAGGATCGTATAGAAGAGCAAATGGACGAGAAACTAAGATTTATAGTACGAGGCTGGGACGATGGAGTAATGCACCCGTAACTGTTTGAAACCCGTTTCCTTCTTCCACCTATGGAAGTCGACGAAGGCAGCAGTGACAGAAAGGACGAAAAAGGCCCAGTAGAAATCCAAGACGATCTTTGTCTCCAGGTTCTCCTAGTCCTAGTTCTGTAGTAGATTGAAAAATGAACGTGTGACCCTATCATGTGCTAATGTGGGGGTGGCTGGTATTATCGCTCAGGGAATAAGCATTCAAATACATTCGCTGTTTGCGTGTGGAGACGGCAGGAGCTTACGATCTCCAGTACTCGGTCAAGCTACTTACTTATCTCCACGATCTGCACACAAATGTAAAGACAGGGTAAAGACAGGGGAAGCGATTAGAGCCAGACCATGGTTGCGGGATCTATGGAGAGAAATTTTCTAATACTCATACCATATTCACCAGTCTCATTCCATTAAAATAAGAAAAATACAACGCGTATAGGTGTGATTTTGGTGCCGGTATTTTTTTTTTCTCTTACCGCGCCCCCCCCGCCCCCCCCCCCCCCCCCCCCCCCCCATTTTTTTTTTTTTTTCCCCCCCCCCCCCCCCCCCCCCCCCCTCCCTTGGGTAGCCACTCCTGGGAAGTTTTCGGAGGAAGGAGACCAACCAAATGAAAGATATGCCGTTAATTTAGGCTTAGCGCGATGGCTCTGGTCCCTTCCTCCAGTGTTACTGGATATCGTGTCTTAGTTATGCCAGATTCATGACTTCTTTGGCCTTCGTATCGGTGTCTGGATCTTGTTTTTTAAATGTATGAGATAAGTTTGAGTCGAGATTGAAATGGTGGCTAGCAGTAGCCGATCGATTTGGTGGGATGTTGGGATATCTCATTCGGACATCCGTGAATTAGCAGAATGGCGCCCATGTTGTATTCCACGCTTCCTAGAGACAATTTTTTCTCAGAACTCGTCGAGATGACTCGAGAAACTCTAGATAGGCCTAACGTCCAAGATGACATTTTCCGTGGGACCCACGTTGGCCCAACGTGGTTCTCCAACGTCAGGATACGTTGACCCAACGTAGGTTATTCACGTAGGCCCCACGTGAAAGTGACTTTTGGGCCAACGTTGGCAGTATGTTGGACAGCAACGTATAACCTACTTACTCAAGTAGCTGGTTTTGCTCTATATTGGCCACCATTTCGTACAATATACTTAATTTCATTATCCAGTGTAGTATTCCCTTCTGTAGTACGGGGCCTGTTCTATGCACTACAACCTACCATGTATACATGCCGTAGATAGGCAGGAGACATAGGACAGTACATACGTGGATCTACCATTGACTATTGATTACAGTACATGTCAGAGGATGGACCACCTCGTACAGTTCTACTAAGTATCCGTGATATCAGTCCTCTATTTCCTCCTTCTGCCGTCGAGTTGAGGGAATGACAGAGGTAGCGTTCGTTCACGGACGCTACCTCTATTCTTTTTTCAGTTAGAGTCCTCCTACTTTTGAAAAGGGTTTTCATGGGAATATGAGCTTACTTATGGCCTGAGCTCCATGAATCTGTCTTGAATAAGTGGATAACAAATGATGAAATGTCCGCGTTGATTGATTCCTATAATGAGACTAGGCGAGACATATGGCAAGGTACTAAACAATCCTGCGAAGGACGATTCCAGGGAAAGAGGGAAGGGAACTTCTGCGTATTGTGTGAAAAGTGAAACCAATACCTCCATCTAGTGGCCCGACGA